GACTGATACATTCTGAGCGGTGTGGTGAGTGAACCAGTCAAGAATCAAGATCGTTTAACTTAAGGGGATCGAGGGAAAACTGAACACACAAGTAAGCATTTACTCAGTCATAGTACGCGTTACATTGTAAATCACAAAAGACACCTCGTCAAGCCTGGTGCTTCGATTTGTTGAATTCTTGTAACTATTTACACGATGTGGTAGTTACTTCAGTTTGTTGTTGCAATCTGAAACATTTACAACCTATATCCCTCCAGCATGTCAAGATCGTAGTTGAAGTGTAATGGCAATTTTGCTAGTGATTGCCTGTAAAGGGAATTTTATGCTTGAATTCTGGTTGCCACAGAAGCCAGATCTTTTAAAAGCATTATGTTTCTGGTCTCCCTATCAAGTCTACTCGACGAAGTGTAATCTCAGACACCATACATACTGACTAAGACTTACATACTTGCCTACGTCGACAGTCCGGCAATACGTTTCCGGTAACCAACCAACTGACATTGTACTGTTGTTGAATTATTTGGCTCCCATGTTGGCCAACGCTGGCCCCGGACTGCCATATGGTATTTCTGTTGGTCGAACGTTAGGGTATTATTGACTGCAGTTTAACGCTATAATTGCAACATTGTAGGCTAAAAAATGTTTTGTCAGGACATTTACCTCGCCTTCTAGTCGCGGTGAAGCCGAAGCCAAATTGTCACTAAATATCCGTTGCTCTCCGATGGCTGTATAAAACGAAACTTAATATTTAAGCGGCGTCGGCCGCTGTGGATCGGAACATTCTGCTTACCGCAATTTGTAGCACTTATGTTTTGATGGATCAATACTCCTTTCCGTTGTAAACATTCCAGCATTTCAAGGTCATGATAAGCTTCACTTGGAACCATCTGCTTATCTGCGTCGTCATGCTCAATGGGCGGGGCGGGGCAGGGCAGGGATTTCTCGCACTCTTCATCGGTAAGAAAGTACGCTTCTGGAATCCTTATTTTGTTGGAGAAGGGCGTTTTTGCCAGAGTTCAACCAACAAAAGATTGTCGCACGCTCATAAAATGAAAGACCATCTAGTGCGCATGCTCTGTAGAGTCTCAAGAGAAGTTGGATTCAATAAATTATAAGCCACAAAAGAAAAGACCCATCGCTGCGATCCAAGACTTTCCATGTTTCCCGGCTGACATTTTGTAATTAAAAAGGTAAAAAGGATCAAATCGCCTTAATGGCACGTGACCTCCAAGAAAAGTGAAGCCGAGTACTGTTTTTAAAAACAGCGAAGCCTGAGAATAGAGTGAGGGCTCTCTCACCAGTACCAGACCTCTTGTTACTAGAAAAGACTGCAAAAAGTCGTCTGTTCAAGTAGAGTTTTGTAGATGATGCAAGGTGACGGTGCATAGTCATTAAGTGCAAAGATCATTGCTGGAAACTCGCCTCATTTTGCCGAGAAGGACAAGTAGTACTCGAGGCTCAAAAACATACAAACTGAAGGTCTTCCAAGATAAAATTATAACAAAATTATACCCCGAGAATTACACGTCAAATCTCTAAACAACGCCTTAAAAAGCAACTGCAGAAGCTTCTCTTGCAAAACAGTTGGGATCGAAAATATTTAAATACAATTCTGTGTGTTCATTTACCACGCGTGCTTTTGAGTTTGAAATGGATCGGCGGAATAAAACCCACACCTAGGACAAACCTTTGCCAGAAGTTGTGAGTAGACATCAACCCAAACAAAAGCAAGGGAAGAAAAGGCAATCTAGGCTGATTCAGCGCTTCTTACTTCAAAAATCCGCATCCGGTATCCGCCTGCTCGAAGGTTCGATGCAAATGATTTCAACGGCGTTCCATTCGATAATTCACCCTATGATACCTTGAGGGCTGTGTCCAACCTCCTCTGCCTCATCCCTGTGTATTGTAGGACAGCTCGTTCTGATGTGAAAGACGGCTGCGAGGTTTCGAGACCGTCAACAGTAAAACGATGTTGTTGTTGTTGTTGTTTTTTTTTTTTGGGGGGGGGGGGATATTTAAGGAACTATCTTAATTTATTGACCTTTCCTAGTCTTTTTTTTTTTTTGCAAGAAGATGCATTAGCTTGTTAGATCAGAGAATAATAAACAATTATTGGATGAGGGTTTTGTGATATCCTAAATAATCAAGGTCGAGGTAAGTGTTATCCGCCGAGCCGAAGGCCGAAGCTGATAACACTAACCGAGACCTTGATTATTCCGGATATCACAAAAACCCAATCTAATAATTGTTTTATTATAAATTGTTTTGAAGAAAATAACGACAAAAACACCGTCGCAAGGAACCTGAATTGATATTGTTATTGTAAATCATGCATTGCGCGCGCAACTTACAGAGTAGTCAGTTATCTGCTAGCGGATAACTAACTAATCTGTAGGTTGCGTTGATTTCCAAAATTAGCTGTAGGCTCTTAGCCATTGAAAAGACAGATAGTGAGTACAATGTATAATAATTAAAATTATGTTTTATTTCCCTCCCTCAGATAAGCCAACCATGAAAGCAAGGTGGTCCGCTCTCGTCTTAATTTTCATTACGCTTGTACTGTTAGAAACCAGCAAAGCTAAGCCTAGAGGGAAAGGCAAAGGCTTCGGTTATCTAACCTTCTCTGAGCAAGACAAGCTATCTTTACCGTGTAAGGCAGAAGAATTTGATCAAACCATTCAGGAAGAGGGCTGCGAAGCCAAAGTCATTCAGAACAAGATTTGCATTGGGCAATGCTTCTCATATTATGCTCCCGGTACCCGCCCAAGAAAGGATTTGACCGATAAGAGGGTTAAGTACTGTGATACTTGTAAGCCTTCACTGAGGAGCTGGACCAAAGTCAGCTTGAATTGTCCTGGTGCAAAACATCCCCATGTTGACAAACTGGTGGAGGTGATCTACGATTGCACGTGTCAAAAGTGTGTCAGAGAATCAAAATCAAAGCATAGGAAAAACCGTAAAAAACGTTAAGTCAGACCTTGTGCTTTGACTGATGGAGTAACAAAAGTTATTCGCATTGTTCTAATTTTCGTTATTGACTTAAAAACAAGTTTTACATTAGATACTTGTCCTACTTGTAATTTCGTTTGACATTTGGGTCGGGAAGGGTATTTGATGGGCCAGGGGCATACTCTTAACAAATAAGTCTTACGTTGGGGGGCTTAGCCCCGAGCACTAAACCCTTTCTTTGTAACTTGAAATATATTTTTAAAAAACTGGCAATTCCTTTCATACATTTCTCAATAAGAACGTTTCTTATTTTTCACACTTTAAAAGACAATACAAGGACTTCTCGACTATGCTTTTACTTGAGTAATCAATCGATTGGATGACGAAATCATTCGTTAGGTGTGTTTGTTCGAGATTTTTTAAACTAGTGTTAAGTATCTTAAAAAAGCTTTTTATCCCCATTCTTTATACTTCATCTCATAAAATCCCTTCTCTTTGATATATCTACGGCCTTAAAAAGGAACCCGTTGTGAGCAGAGCTCACCATTAAAGTTACCCCTGGGGTATAATTAAAACGACCCCTATGACTCTCCGGCTTGGCTTAAAGGAAACGATTGCAACGCAGGCTATTGTATATAGAAAGTATAGAGCTTATTAAGCAACAATTAGGAAAATTTTAAAGCAGTGTATTCCCTTCTAAGTTGCTCTAGCTTTTAGTTCTAGGGTAACTTACACAATGTATATTTCAAGGTGCTTTATGGGTAGTGTTCTTTAAACCTGTTATTCGAACTCAAATTTTCGTGAAATCGCGTTATCCCGATGATCATTTTTGGCATCCCGCTTCATATGCATACTTTGAAAGCCGAATCCCGCTCCGATTTTGCTTTCAAATCATGAATTTCGAGTTTCAAGTGAGAGAAATCCTGGATCCCGATACCCTAGTGGGGACTGCTGGTAAAGCACATTGAAAGTACAAGAATTTATATACAGGTATCAGTTTAATGATAACTTGGCTGGGTTGTTCAAAGCAGGGTTAAGATATATAACCCAGGGTTAGTGCAAAATTTCAATTCAGATATGAAAGCTTAAAAGTCAAATTCAGTTATATTCTTTTTGTTTAGCATTTGAGTATTTTATGCTCTAAAAAGAATCGAGAAAACTATCCGGAAAAATGCTTTTGAAAAAAAGAAATAGACTGAACCGCGTTAAAAATTTACCCCTGGGTTAGCGCTAATGAGTCTTCGAACAACTGGGCCCTGCAGATGTTGATTTTTAATGGTGAGGATACCAACTACACAGATTGGGCCTATATATCGTATGTCCTCTAAACAAAGTTATAAAGTATTGAAACTTTATCAATACTCAAATCTAAATTTTGGTGCTTATTCTTTTCGTTATTTTTTCATTTTTCTCTTTTTCCTAACTAAGTTATATATACATATTTTTCATGTTAAATTACAAGAAAAGTGAAAGTAAAATCGAGGGAACCTCACGAAAACGAACTGAAACCAAGAAAAATTAAATTTAAACAAAATTTGGTTTAACCCAAAACTTGCACCTACCAGCATGCATTGCTGGGCTTCACTTTTATCCTGTAAACCCAGAGTTTACATCAAAAATTTACGAGAAAAAGTCTCGCATGACTAATTTTTAACACCCATTGACCTCATATGGGGCTCCACTTAAGAAAGCAGTCAAAAATAGGGTACAATACCAGGGGGAAAATTGTAATAGAGGGCAATTCATAGCACTGTGGAATACCACGTTTTAAAATCGTATATAATCGACTCTCTAGGACTCAGAAACTATTTTATCACGCATTACACGAAAAAACCTAAGGTTTTTTAGTGATATGAGCTGTTCTTTTGGTTTCTGAGTGGCGATTTTGCAGTATTTCGAATCCATGGTGTAGTTAACGTGCAAATCTCTCACCGCACCACCATGGTGCAGCAATGGCTAATACCAATCTGGATTTATCGTTTAGAATTGCCTCTGGTCCCATTGTTTTTATCAGAAAGTGGTTTTGTGACGGGTTTATGGATGATTGAGACCATTGGCCGTAGACCTTACTTGATCCATCTTACTTGGAGTGGTCTCAAAAGTTAATGACCTAAGGCAGGCTTGACCTTCGTTCATGTAATCTACTTTTTATTGCATCAAGGCTTAATGCCAAGTCTGATAGTTTTGTTTCATGGCATCGAGAACCTGGTGCCACAGCTGTTGATGCTTTCAGTATTACCTGGGCTAATTTTAATTGTTACGCTTTTCCTCAGTTTTAGTCAGCTGTCTCGATTTTCGGCCAAAGACAAAGGTAACCAAAACGTGTACTAAGCCGTCTTCGCCATCTCTGTACGGTTTTATCTGCACTCACTCGCAACAAAGGCACTGATGTTAGAAAGACTCCTTCTACTCACTGCGCCGCCTTCTTAACGTCTGTTGGCTCGGATCTCAATGACGGAATAAAAACAAAATGGCGCTGTCACTGACTTAGCTAGCAGAATGAAGTGAAAAATGCCCATTTAACTTAGTAGATGTCATGGATGGAGTCTTTCCTTCAAAAGAACCTTTTTCAAACTGTAATGAATATCTGATTTTGGGTGCAAACTTGAGTCGATGTAGATTTTCTTGCCGTTGGCAAACTAACCAAAACAATGGCTTATGAAGTCAAAAAAGGACCTCTTACCTTCTCGTTTTATGTGATAAAAAGGCCCGGGGGGGGACTCCCATATGAAACAGACGCGGATGCTCGTCGTCTCGCTTAGGGGTGTAAATTTTGGATTTTGGTCTCGCTTAGGGTGTTCCGGGCAAAGCGCTAATATTTTAAGCCGCCAAGGTCTCGTTTAGGGTTCCGCGAAGAACTTGAGATTTATGACAATGCTTTTAAAAACTACTTTTAGATAAAAGCATTCGATGATTATATCTTTATATCATTAAAACTCATGTCGTATTTGTGTGTTTTTAAGCGGTCTCTTTTAGGGGTCAAAATTTCCTTAAGCCACGCCCAGATTCGTCTCCTTTAGGGGTCACAAAAAGCTTGAGCCACGCCCAGATGGTCTCCTTTAGGGGTTAAATTCAAAATTTCCGACGAGCATCCCCGTCTGTTTCATATGGGAGTCCCCCCCCCCCGGGTAAAAAGGTTCACGCATATATTTGTAAAAGTTAATCAAAAAATGAAAAATTAAAGGGTGTTGGAATGTTATATAATCTTTTTTACTACTAGTTATCATCTTCGGCCGGACTTACTCTTCTCTGAAGCCACCCTTCTTGTATGAATGGTGTTTTGAATTTTGTTATCACCGATTGCATCGATAGTCAGTTCTGTTAAAGCTTTTTAGAAAGCTAAACTCCGGTGGTGAACAGGTTTCCAGAACGTTAGTTTGCTTAATTATTGATTCTTAATTATTGACTTAAACCTACTCTATCATGTCAAAAAAGAGATTTTCACACCTTTTTAAAGACATGAACTTTTAATACAAGCAAAATGAGACATGCTATAATTCTTCGAAAATTTTGGGTCCTGCTTAAGTCGAATCAGTGTACAATATTGCTTGTCTGAATCAAACTCATAAAAAACAATTTAATTTCCTTTTAGTGAAGTTGGAAAGATTGTCGACCTTTTATTTTTTTACGGCACGATTTTAAGTGGGTAACAAGGTCACACATGTACAAGATGATTCTTAAGTTAAAAAAGCTGACAAACCGAGTTGTTTTAAGGAATTTTACAAAGAATGGTAAAAGAGGGTCAAAAACGAGATTCACCCTGTGCAGATTCACCTGATCGGGATTCGGGATCGGCTGCTGATCACAGTAGTATCCGTAATAAAGAGGTTAAGTTTATATGAATTTACTCTCTGGGGCCGAGATTTCGTGTCCGTTGTCCGTATTAGAGAGAGTCGGTATTATGGAGGTTTTTTTAAAGAAAATGTATGAGAATTTTGTCGGGACATTGGAAACTGTCCGTAATAGAGAGGAGTCCGTATTAGAGAGGTGTCCGTACCGAGAGAATCGACTGTATTCTTTTCTACCACTAATTATCATGTGGAAGGTTTGCATCCAGGAGTCATTTCAAAGGGAGGTTGAGTTTCATCGTCCGAGTAAACGTAGTCCTGAATAGGACTGTTGTTGTTGACATTGACTAATGTTTCGACAACCTGTGCGGTCATCTTCAGAGTCAAGGTAAGTCGTATCACGTCAGTTGATGGTATTATACTCTGGTTATAGGGAAAAACTCTGGTGGTAAATAGGTTACTTTCCAAAATGTTAGTTTTCTTAATCATTGACTACAGCATGCACGGTCATTCAAAAAAAATTCTTTCGAGAGAAAACCGTTTTTAAAGGCATCAATTTTTGTTACTTTCAAACTGCGACATGCTATAATTTGTCGCTAGCACTCTCTAGGGTGGGTCCCGTAGTCAAAGCGGCTTACAATATTGCTTGTCCTCAACTTAACGGAAACACTTTAATAACTTTATGCTGTGCTTATGATGTTGGAAAGAGTGCGGACCCGTTTACCACGGCTTTCAGCGGATATCAAGGTCACGCATGTACAAGATGACTAAGTTATGGCAACAAATAAGCTGAAAAACGCTGATAAAGTTAAATCCTGAGAATAATATGATGAATGGTGAAAGAGGGTCAAAAAGGAGACTCTACGTACCGCGCACCACAAAAAGCCTTTCCCTTAATAAAAAAGAGTTTAGGAAATTGATCTTTCACTATTTAGCCCGTAAAAAATTACTACATTTGAATGTAAATAAGGTCAATTCTCGTCGAAATATGTTTTTGAGGAAAATCGAGAAGATAGCTTTGCAAGCAGCTCGAACGTTTGACTCGTTGTTGTCAAGGGAAGCACAACGTTGAACAGACAGACACTATTCTTTTCTACTATACCACCGAGTGTCATCTTCGGGCCTTCTTCTTTCCCGAAGTCACCCTTCTTGGTGTATAAAGTTTTTATTTAAATTTACTTCAAGCTTACAGAAAGCTAAACATCGGTGGTGATTAGGTATCGAAATCGTTAG